TGTGAGCGATAATTTATACGGATTACTGCTATGATCGAAATTTAATATGAGTTTTATCTTATATTTGAAGTTCAATTAAAAGAACGATATATTTTCTAAAAATTTCGCAACTCGCCAAATTTCTTTATCTTCTCTCTCTTATCACGTTTATGCGTCACATTGTAAATAAATTTTATAGATCGAGTAATAAAGTGAAATATTTATCTTATTGTGGCTAAAAGGATTAGCCATGTGATCGATGTGACCATTGATAGCAAAGAGAGCCGAATACGTGAGATTAAGGAGTCGTCTCAACTCGCGGATGAAAAACTCTCGTCCAGGTTCCTTCAGGATGTTCGATTCAACTGAGTAGCAGCGTACAATGGAAACGCGCGATGCTCTTCTTCGATGTGGGTAAAGACTTCGCTGAAGGAAACGCGGTGGATAATAATATTCAGGGCCGTGCGAGCTACAATGTAGGACGAATTACAATATGAAACGCCGTATCTCGGTGTACCATTAAAATTAGGCTGCTGAGGAGAGCATGCTAATTATTCCGCGGGCTCTACAAAAGTTCCTTCGCCCTGGTTCTCTCGCCCGACGATCTCGCCGTCCTTGCGCACCACATAGCACCCTCTCTCTCTCTCTCTCTCTCTCTCTCTTTCTCTCTACCCCTCCCTCGCCTCCTCTCTCACTCTATCTCTCTCTCTCTCTCTCTCTGTGCGCAGGGATAGACAAATCCCACTCTTAGAGTAGTATGCGCCTCTCACAAAAGGGGTGGAGTGAGACAGCTGGCCGTGTGCCCAGGGTCAGGGTGCCGCGCGCTCGAAGCCATGGAAGAGGGCGAAAAAAGGAAGAAACCGCGCCCATGTTGTTTCTATTCACCTGCCCATGCTCGAGTGCCGAGCGAAGACGCTGTTAATAAATTTCGATTAATTAGCAGGGAGCAAGAGCGGCAAAGCCGCTGCTGGCAACCGCGTTTAATTACCGCGACGTCAACGACACCATCCGCATAATACAGTTCGAGCTCACACGCGTCATAATTTCGTCGCCGCGTTTCGTGGATACCGTGGCGAAAATATGAGGAAGTTTCAGGTGCCGAACGATGTCACATTTTATTCTTAATTCGAGATGAGATCTTTCTCATAAAAGGCGACGCACCGTACCACGGCGCGGACTGGAGCGAAGAGAATTCCGGTAATTTCATTAGAACAGTTTCCCCACCGAGACTTTCTCCCGAAATATCCTTTCCTATTTTGACTTTTGCCGACTTTTACGCAATCGAAATAGCAGATTCGCAACGAGCTGGCCGGTTTAAGACTAATAAAAGGGCGATAAGACGAATTTACTTGTCTCCTGGATTTTCCAAATCGCGACTTTCCCATCCCTATACGATCGGGTCGGGCAATCGACGCGGAAAAAAATCCAGTCAATGGGAAATCAATCAGAAATGGACAACGGCGGACAGTCTCCGTCGTGAATCCGCAGCTGCGCCATGTGGCAAATGTTTCCAGCCAGGTCTACCGAAGAGTGCAATCTGCCCCCACGATGAGCCGGCTGGGCTCAGCAGGATGCACCCGAAGGATATTTCCCGAGGGACTAAGAGAAGGGAAAATCCGGGAAGCGGTGGAAACTAATAGCAATCCGAACGCAACCAAGTATGGACTCTTAATGGCGATCGCCATTAAGCGTTTTGCTGCTGTGTGTTTCACGTTAAAATTCATAAGCAAGTTCGTTCCCGTCGCGTGTATCTTATAATGGGATAACTTTCAACGCAAAAATGTAATGCAAGTTGCTACGAATCTGCATATTGAGTATTTGAATGTTATAAGAGGAAAATAATATTTCTACAAAGTGATGAGTTTCCAAGAATATTCTCTTCATTCTAAATGAAGATTTATTTAAATGATGATATATTTTATATATTGTGACACACACACACACACACACACACACACATCTTTAAATGTTGCAGTGAAAAGAAGATGGCATTGTTAGAGGCTATTAATTTTGGTAATGCCTAGAAAAGAATTTTAGATGGTTAGATCTTAATAAATCGATCGGTAAAAGCTTTCCGAAGAACGTAATACTCATTAAACTTTGCATCTCTTTGCTAATGCAACATTTTTCGATTCTTTAATCTGTTTGCCTGAAACTACCTGTTACTTATTTTCAAGAATTGCATACGTATTTTATATAAAGAGAGACAATATAGAGAAATAATATAATAAAGAGAGAGAGAGAGAGAGAGAGAGAGAGAAAAAGAGAAAGAAAGTGAGATAAATATATTATAGTTTCCCTTTCAATTTCCCTTTCAATCGTTTACGTCATCAGCCGTGGTGTGGCTAAAATAACTCTACTTTTTAGCACCAAACGTTTTTTCTTCTAAAAATGTTTATATATATATAAAAAAAAATATATATATATATATACTCTCTAATTTTTCTATCTGAAAATAATTTACCAGCATATATCATGGCAATCGGTAAGTCAGGATTTAGGAGATTCCTAACTTGCCAAC